ATATATATATATATATATATATATATATATATATATTTATTAGGGGTTGAACGAGTACATAATTTTTAAACTCGACATTAACATGATAAAACTCGAGTAAAACTCGAGTACTTGATGACATCATAGGATCTAAAGATACAAAAATAAATAAATAAATAAAACCACAAAAAACGTCATTATTTACAAAAAAAAGACCAACAAAACATTGGGAGCATATTATGCTCCTACCATTTATCATACTGCAAATAAGTCACAGGAAAACAAAAACTATTAGTTATTATTAAACTGCAAAAGTGAAAGAAGAGTGCAACACGTCAAAAATGAAACTTTAAAACAGTGGGGCGGACGACCACCCCGCACCACCGCCAGCTTTACCATCACCAGTTTTAGAGGTTAATATGTTTATAGATTTTTTTATAGGTTTAGAGATTAATAATTTTTGCTTTTAGTTTGTGACACAAGATCAGAGGAAGCTGGTTCTGGTTCAGTCGATTGGACCCGGTGTTACACCATATTCTGTGACCTGCAAAAGTGCATGCAACACCACCCCCTACGGTCACAATGTACGGTGGTCACAGAATATGGTGCAACACCGGGTCGCAACGAGCTCCAAACAGTCAAGAAGTTGATCCATTTTCTGTTTCCTTACGGTAGTTGAACCAGAAGATTCATCTTTGGTGAAATATTTCCAGACTATTGATGCATTTCTACCTGTTTGTCAAGACTGGGCCTGCTCTGCTCCATCCGTCTGCTTGGAGGAATCCATTTTGTATCCCACGCCCGGTGCGGATCACGTGACACGTGATGCAATGACGTAATGGCGGCGTAATGACGTCACCACGAATACTCGACGTGAAATTAAAAAACTCGATAAATGTCCTAGGAATCGATGTGTAGATTACTCGAGTAGTCTGTTAAAGCCCTAATATAAAGAAAAAAAATGTCCTTATAGGTTCAAATTAGGTCTGTCACGATAACAAATTTTGCTGGCGATTAATTGTCTCAGAAATGATTGCGATAAATGATAATATTGTTGGAAATTTGACAATAATTAGTAATTATTGTCAAATTCAAGAAGAAATGTTTAATTTGTTTTAAGAGGTGTACCTTTTTAGACCACTGGATGGCAGTATAAAACTGTTTGAACCGAAGGATGGATAGTGAGGGAGCGAGCAGCGTGTCTCTTCAAGAAAAATGGGAGGGAGGCCCCTTGACACGACATGGGATGTCTCTCTTCGGTTCTCAAAATAGCAGATGCTTGGTGT